GGACGGCAGACGGGGCTGGGCGAAAGAGACACTTACTTCCCCACGCCACAGCACCGGGTAAGGACGCGCCAAGCAGCGCGACGGTGCGAGACAGCTTCATGGCTGCGTACAACGAAATCACGGGCGGTATCGAGGTTGGATTTGGTAGTGCAAGCGACGAGTCCAAACTATCGCGAAATTGAGTACGCGAGATACGCTAGAAAACAAGACAGCAAGCGACGGAAACCTTTCAACCAAATACACCGTCCAAAGACAAGTCCGGACGACGCGAGCTTAAATGGCGACGCGTGGTCGGGTCACCAGCGCATCTGCATCCCCCACGTCAACAGGCCGCAGTGCAGGCCGGCAAGTTGGCCGAGGAACGGATCTCACCCAAGCATCTGCAGCACGCACGCTCACCCACCATCGAGACTGCATCAGCCACAGCGAATCATGGCGGTGCATGTGAGGGGCAGCCACGTGCCCCCGATCTGGTATCGGAAAAAGATAACGCCCGACGGATGTCCGATGACCAACGAGTGGTGCCATTGAATGCAAGATTCCTCTGACAGTCTTCGATTGGTCACCGCCATCAGCAGGATCAACGGGCTTTTAAACTTCGGATGATGGGCGCCCATCGCATATGCATCAAGACAGCCAATCTGTGCAAATCTGGGCTGAGCTAGCCGGTTCATCTCGATGCTGATGCAAGGCAACAAGTAAGCTTGCCTGCGCAGTAATGCTCTGTTCAGTGAGGCTTCTTCATCTCAGCTCTGGCTTGCAGCTCTCAGCTGCGATGACCAAATAACCTCGCCTCATTGGCGTGCTGAGCTCAGCTTTTTCCCACAGCACCCACATCAGAGAAAAAGTGGCGGTAAGCCCGCCTTTCGATCAGGTTTTGCGGGAGACTGGAGTCATGCCACACCGCCGTGACCCCCACTAATTTCCCTCTTGAGCGTGTCGCCAAGACTTTTTCAACCCATTGGCTATGTCATGCAGGGTCCCGTCTCTTATCGCAGCGCTTGACCGCAACCGATAGCAAGATAACGGCGAGCAAGGTGGATGGTTGGACGACGGGTGGCTATCCGTAGCCGGCCTATCAATTCCTGCTGCGTGACTCTGCTTCCAACCATTCATCCCACTTGATCTTCCCCCAACCCACCTGACCACGGCCAGACACACGACAAAAGGCGGCTCTGCTTCCTCCTCTCCCCTTGCTTCAGCAGACGTTACGCCAGTCCTGCACAGTTCAATCGCGTCTTCGGAGGAATCAGACACCATGGCTTCATTCGCCGTTACGGCCTACGCCGCCTTATCGCAGACACCCAAAGTTGAAGATGCGCTATCCGGCATCTTTGGCAGCATCAGCTTGACCGCCTGGATCTGCCTTCTCGTGCGTCTTTCTGGAGAGTCTCCGAAGCACGTGAGCTTCGTTTTCGAGCTCCCAGTTTGCTGACATTTGAACAGCTTCCCCAGCTTATCGCCAACTACAAGGCGCAAAGCGCAGATGGCCTCTCCATGGCCTTCCTCATCGTCTGGCTCCTCGGTGACGTGACGAACCTGCTAGGTAAGAAGAACACGACCCCGCGATACTTTTGACGCCTCCGAAACACCACGCGCCCCAATTCTCCGTCTGCCAAACTTGTCTTTACGACCCCCAACAACACCGAAAATTTCTCCCACTAAGAGAGCACGCACTGACTCGAAAACCCTCCGAACAGGCGCCCTCTTCACCCACCTCGCGCCCACAGCAGTCGCCCTCGCCTCCTACTTCTGCGTCGCCGACCTCGTCCTCATCTCGCAATGCGTCTACTATAACACCAAGAACGCCCGCCGCGCTTCCCGCCGCCGCTCCTCCGCCCACGTCACCGCGACCGGCGCGGAGCCCACCGAAGACGAACCCCTCCTCGCGCGCCGACGCTCCTCCTCCGCGGGCCTGCCCGGCTCCCACCGCCGCCACGCCGTGCACAACGAGAGCTCCCTCGACCCCCTCCGCAAGATGGTCACCGGCGAGGACGAGACCCCCGACAGCAACCCCTGGCTGCACAACACGCTGAGCATCTTCGCCGTGTACCTCGTCGGCGCGTTGGGCTGGTTCGTCAGCTACAAGGCCGGCGCGTGGAACTCGCCCGACATTGACGTCGGCGCGCCCGAGGAGGTCAAGGGCACCATGGAGAAGGTCGGCTTGTTTCTGGGATACGTCTCTGCCGTGTGCTACCTTTGCGCGCGCATCCCGCAGATCATCAAGAACTGGCAGGAGAAGTCTTGCGAAGGTACGTCTCTTTGGGTATCTGCTTTTCGAGAGTGCAATGCGTGCTAACGCAGTATTGAACAGGTCTCGCGCTGCTCTTCTTCCTCCTCTCCCTCACCGGAAACTTCACCTACGGCGCCAGCCTGCTCGCCTTCAAGCAGGACAAGGACTACCTCCTCAACGCGCTCCCCTGGCTCCTGGGGTCCTTCGGCACCATCGCCGAGGACTGCATCATCTTTGTGCAGTTCCACCTCTACTCGGGGCGCCGCGAGGCCAAGGACGGAGACCAGGCGTGATTGTGGAATGCACAAGCGCGTTGTCACGGAAACCTGCATGTGCGCGCCTGCGAGGCTGCGCAAATATGCATCGTGTCTCGGTCGGATCTAGAGACATGATTCATCTTGCATCGGCCGGCAGCAGCTGAAGAATGTCGTGGATTTTTAATCTTTGCATGCTTGGGAGGCTTGAGGATGGGGGTGTTTGTACCAATTACGACTTTGCTGCATTTCCGGCGTTATGGGATTGATGGTTTTTTAATCATGGGTCACCTCAGGTGTCTGCATTTTCGATCACGATGGTCTTGTCGCCTCTGACCATGAAGCATGGCTGCATATATAATGAATGCCGAATTTACGCTCTGATTTTCTCAAGATTTATGAGCAGTGCTCCCAGCTATCGAGCGCAATGTCTTTGCGGTGACTACGAATCGTGAACAGATTTTCAAGGTGCTCAATTCCATGGAGTTTCGCTGGCTTCGAGACCTTGGGAGGAAGGTGGGGCGTGTCGCGTGCCGCGCATCATGGGTCACGTGAGCCATGTTGAAGAGCAATAAGATCACTCTTTTGGCAACGTTGGGCGAGTAAGAATGTGAATCCGAGTCTTTGACTACTTAAATACGGTTTATTCAACTGGTTGAAAGTGATTTTAAGGTAATTGGAGGGTATTGAGGGAGTTCTGGGTAAACTATCATCATCGTCTTCTTTTCCTACAAATTTTACAACAACAACCGTACGAAAACATTTGTCAAAATTCGCAGATGTCGCCACAACTGGTAGGTGATCACGAAAAATATCAAAATGGTGGAGAAACGGGATGTGATTCATCACATAACTTTATTTTATCACGGAGAGTTGGTTATGCAGCTGGAACCGAGTCATCTATCGCGTTGTCGCGTAACGAACGGCTGGATCTCCTCGGAGAGCTGCGTAGCGTGCCGCGCTCCCGACGGACACTTCAACCGGTTGAACATTCAAGATACGACGGAGATGCATGGGGGATGGAACGTAGATCTCGCGAGCATGTTTCCGGTTCGTAGATGCTCTCGTCGCGAGCTGCGCAGCGGTGCCGCCCTGCCGGTCCCGACGGAGATGCTGAAAGATGTAGATAACATGCGTATGCGTGTGCGTATGCACACGTGTAATAGGAAAAACTCAATCCTATCAAAACTTATCAGTAGTCCGGAGTGTTGCTGTGAGCTGCGCCCCCGAGGGCTGGTCAGTTGTAGTCAACGGCGCGACGCGATGAGATGGAGGGATAGAGAGAGAGAGAGAGAGAGTCAGGCGCGGAAAGTTAAGCGGGATCTTATCTCTGGACATGAGTCGTTGATGAGTTGCTTGGATGATGCTGGGGAGGATGGGGAGGCGAGGGTGAGGTTTACCTCGTGCTCGGGTCCCGAGGGAGGGTGGTGACGGCGGTTATCCCTGTTGCGGGGGAGGGGGAGGGGGGGTGGGGAGGATGTGGTTTGGTAAGTGCATTGAGAATGCCATGTCGCGTGAGATGTCATTTGGTAATGGGGAGAGGATGCAGGTTTCATGGAACGGAGGGCACGTCATTTGGGCTCTGGTTGGTGGTCATGAGGGACCGAGACAGCTCCAGGGCTGTGACTTTGAGAGGCTTCGGACTTCGGTAAGGCGAGATGGGGCCTCTCAGGTCATTTGAACAAGCTGCCCGCTATTTAGAAGGTCCATCCGTATGATAGTGGTGTTAAACGCAGTGGTGGGAATGAGCAAGTAGACGTTGGTCTTTGGGATAGGTCACGATGTCTGAGGGAGCTGTGATAGACCGTAGAAGCCGCGAAGTAAGATCTGGGACAACACACGGGGAAGTCCCACGAGGTCTACGGCAATTGAAAGCTCCTCCGTAAACGTCTCTGCAACTAATTTCAATCCATAGACTTTGTTTTATTGGTCATGTAACGCCTTGCCGCAATCGAGGGGAAACCGCTCAGTCGGCGGGAGAGGTCGCAGCGAGACCGTAAAGATCCAGTGGAACGCCCCACTATAGACACTCATGCGCCGATAACGACCCACCCTTCGGATCCGATCCGGAACGATGGGTGGAGACAATCGGCGCCGGTGTACCGAGCAGTCACTGCATGACGGCTGGAGAATAGACCAGATAGTTATGAGAGTAAAAGTCTGCCTTCATGGTCCAGACAGGCTGCGGTAACCTGGCCGCGAAGACTTCAATGCTTATTGTTACACTAAACCACTTCACATTAGATAGCCTCAATCCAATAGGTTTCTGTTTTCTGCTGACAGCAACTGCCAATTCATTCTGTCAAGTCTCAGAACAAACCCATGCCTGGCTATTGATGCAGGCTGCAGTTCAGGCTCTAATCAGGCTGCGTTGGGCTACGTAAGCCGACAGCCCCTCCTCCATGCCCGAGAGATCTTCAAATTTCTCGACTTTGTCATTTCTTCTAACAGAAGGTCTCTTTGATGTGTGTTGTGACCTAAATTGGCTTGTTTATCTGTATCGACAGACAGAAATGAAGTGGCTTTCCTCTAAATTTCGAGATGCGGACCGAAATCGCCCCCAAAAACCATCATCCGGACTTCCCGAGCCGATACCCGATCAGTTTCCATCAGGCATCAAATTGCTCCACAGCCCGGATGGTGATGTTCTGGTTGAGTATGCCTGCAAGAGGTGATCAGAAGCTCATGCGAACAACCTACTGATAATATGTCTCCAGCATTGTCTTCGTTCATGAAATCTTCGCGATACATCGGATCACCTCAAAGCATTAACAGATATTCTCGAAAAGTTTGACGTCGAGCTGAATAAGTACAACGAGACGCCCGAGAACTTGAGCACACTGCTTTCACAGGCCAAACCAACGATTGAGGCATGCAAGATAGCGTCTGAGGAGTTCCTTGCTTGGTTGAGAAAGGCCACACGGCATTCGGATGCGAGTCACATCAGCTGGCGGGACCGTATCGGTCTTCTGTATGAAGACAAAACCATCAACGCATTCAAGTCTCGCTTACAGAGCTATGAGTCTACAATTAATCTCGCTCTTTGTTTTACATCCCTGTAAGTATTGCTGTCATCGACAAATCACAAACTTATGGAAAAGGATGCGGACGATGATACGTTAAGATGCTGATCTCTTTACATAGTAATCTGATGAGCCAGAACGCCGGAGACCTCCGGGGCATCGGAGACACTGCCACGAAGACTCTAGAAACAGTAACGAGTCAGATACAGGGACTTTCCATCGGGATGCAGGCTGTGATTGAATTCGGAGCGGAGAAGAACGAGCTGATGAGCGCACTGGAAGAACAAACCAAGATGCTCACGCAGTGCGCGCGTGTTTGCATGCCTGTTCTCGAGGCAGCCGCGAAGACTGAAGGCAACACGTTGAGATACGCGGTTGCTCTGGATGAGGCTCGGCAGCTTGTTGGTGTCATCGGTGATGTCAAAGCTGGAGGAGCTACTGTGGCAATCGATCAGTTGATTGCGAAGGACAAGGCCAGGCAGATGGGAGGCACGATCTCTGGGGATGTTGCACTTGCGTTCATGAAATAGAAGCATGAACTCCGAGCTACAAATAGCGGCGAGTTCGGACTTTGGGAGCATTCAAGCCACGAAAGATGGAAGAAGCAAAATCTTCCTCACACTCTCTACCTACGTCGGGAACATGGTATTAGAAGTTGTCTTAATTCATACATATTCTATCTTTGCAAGCTGTATGCAGGTGCAGTCGTCTGTGGCGCAGATAATGGATGCTCTGGGTAAGAGTCTTGAATGTCTACTCCAGCGCATCCTCAACTCGATTATCTGGATCGCGGTATCGCCGTAGGTGTAGTTGCCTAGGCCCTGCACGTACTATCTATCATGCTATTTATTCTGCGACTGTTTCCAAGTTATCATTTGACGGAGAACCTCGAGACTCCAACTAGTTCACTTATCACGATCATTGTCTGTTCTATCGTTTTGATAGTTTCGGCTCTCATCGTGTCTAGCTTCTGTGATTTCGATAAAAATACTTAGCCTGCTCTGAACCAAAGTGTCCAATGTTTAACCGCTGGGTTGGCTTTGAAAATCTTTTGTGTTGAACAATCGACTCAATATGCAGATGGAATCATTGTAACAATGTGCTTTCAATATGGTATGGGCCCCAACGCATCTGAACCTAGCTTCCGATTATTTGCTATGCGCTCTTCACAGGCGCTGTTTCCCAAAGCGAAGTATCATAACAAGGTCAAAACAGGCCAGCTTGAGAAGGGAATATCAGTGACACCTTGTCCCTCCATCAAACCGTGCACGATGCTGTCGCCGATCATCTGGTATCGCTCCTCGGCAGCTTCCCGAGATACTTTCCTCAAAACCACAGGCACACTGCAACCTTTTATCAGAAACAGCTCATCTCCAGGCCTACAGGAGCTGGTAGCCCAGCCTAGGTTACTGTGATCTGTAGTAAACAGACGCATCCCCATCTGAACCGAAGAGTAACAGCGCCTGGCTTTCGTCGCAGTCTTCACCCTGGTCTTATCGGAATATGCGCAAAACCAGTTTGCGAGCGGGACATCATCAATCTTGAAACTGAGATTCTGTCGACAAAAGAGCCACTTGTAAAAACCCGGGACGGATTTACGGACTGATTTTCGCACGGACTCAGTCAAGAGGTAGTGAATATCCCCAATCTTAATAGCCTTGGCGTCCGGGGACTTCTTGTTTGGAAGCAAGTCGTACAGCAGCCAGCAAAGAGAAATCAGGTGTTTGACTCTGCGGGCACCGTACTTGCTCACTTTTCTCAGCTCCCCGGTTTCGTCCTGGTTTGCTTCATCGTCGGTAGCTGAGCATTGGGTGATGCGGCCAATCCTCTTGTAATGCACCCGAAGCCCTTTTTGGCCATCAACACGCCAGAGTGATCGAGAACCCAGCGTAGCTCTCCATTCTGTAATAGTTCTGCTTGACCCGGAATCGCAATCAGATCGTTCTGGCACAAAACTGCTCTTCCCTGTCAAGTAGTTGTTTGTTCTCTCTTCTTTCCAAGTATCGGGATTGTCTAGTTGGGGCACCCAGGTTTTCGTTACGTGCGTAGGGAAGATCACCATGTCGAGATCTTGATACATCGCGATGAGCCGGCAGACGGTCCGTCGATTGAGAGCTTCGAGAGACTCCTCATAGTTCGGAAGCGAAACGCTGTCCCTCCCGTCTGAGGCGATGTGTTTCAAGGCGTAGAGCCTGTCTCTAGGATTTGAGCACTCTGCATATCGAGATCGTATAAGTGCTTCGAGAAGACGGATGGGTGATTCCCGAAAACTTCGGAAACCCATCAGACGGTCGACGTGCTGGAACTCTTTGCTCCATCGCAGTTCCCTCGCTTCGAGTGTTGTAGGCGCCAAAGATTTGCACGCAGCGATCGCTGCTTTGAGTTCCCTGACCGAGAAGTGTTGGTTATTCCAGAAGAATTCCACTCTCCGCGAAACCGTGACTTCTTGTATTATCCATGCGCGACTCCAATACTCCCTTTTGAAAACGGCCAAAAGCTCCGTCCAGTATGGTTGAATTCCCGGTGGAGGTGACGACGGTGCATTCGACTTTCCGGCAGACTTCTTGCCTTTGTGCTGCGCTGTGCCTTTATTCTTTTCTCCCCAGGCGACCAAGGAAGTCACCAGTGATCTTGCGTTCTCAAAAGTCTCGATATCTGATCCCCGGCAAAACCCAAGCCATGCCATAGTTTGGGAGGCATATCTGTAAATGTCTCCCATGCGCTCCACTTGAGAAGCCAACTCTTCGGTGTTGTGTTGATTGATGCAGAGTCGGTCCACCCAAACACGGTAGTGCTGTTGTCGGCGTAACTCCTGAAGAGCATGAGCGAGACTTTTGGTCACCCGAACGAGCCTCCCTGATATGTCAATATGAGGGCTGTCATCGACCAATTCTCCCCAGCGATAAGAGAGTGCCACGTATTTGCCAGTTCTATGTTGTGGAAACTGTTCTAGACTGCACTGAATCGGGCTCATTGGATCTTCGGCCGGATTCATCACAAGAAGTCGAATATCTCCCTTCCGAAGACTGAGCTGCCAGTATGGGAGCTTGCTGCCGCCACTCGATGCTGATCCATATTGGGCACCTCCGGAATCGTGATAATACGTCCAGTTGGGATAGGGCTGGCCATGGTCGAATTCCATGTTGACCGAACCGGTTTCAGTGATGGCCGAGCCGTTGGGCAATGTCTGGAAAGAATTTGCGAGAGTGCGACTAGCCGGTGCGGCGGTTGATGAATGTGCATCCAAAGGTGGATGCGAAACGATTAGTTAGCTCGGGTTATACGAAGCATTAATCAAAATGACGGAGTGCGCTCTGGAGCGACTCGCCAGACTGATTTATCAACCAAGTCTACAAGTCTGCCTTGATTTCTGCCTTGATCACGCCCGTCAGCCCATATCATACCCACGAGCACCCATTGGCCATATAGTGAGAAATAAATTCCAAATATGTGCTGGTGGCAGAAAGAAACCGGGGGCTGCCTCTGCCCAGCCACACCGATCTCTTTCCCCATAGGCTACACCACAGACGTGCAGCAGCAGCATGCACAGATGAGTACATATTGTGCGCGCCACATGCAGCGTGAGTGGCAGCCATATCGAACGGTCTGACACTCCTCATGCAAGAATGGACGCCTGACGGCGCCTTCCCATTCGGGACGCAAACTACCCGCCCGGCAACTAGCCTCGGAGGCTAACCCCACTTCCCCGGCCATCCTCCCGAATCAAAAGTGGACCCTCGGGAACGTGGTCCGGCAAGCACGGAGTCCTCTGCAAACGCAGCGCCCAAAATAACCACGGTCCCTCAAATGACCTCATTTCGGAGGCGAGAAATCTTCCACGAAGGTTCATATTCCCGTGGAAATTTCACAAAACCGTTCACCATCTTTGCCTCCCAAAATAACCTCGAGTCATGTCGTTGTAGCCAGACCGCGGATCGGACATTGACCCTCAACCCCCGACGCCCTTCCCTCCCCTACATTTCGTACCTACACGGTCAATCAAACGCCTCCCACCCAAATGCCCACGAAACTCCTGCCCAAATCTCCCCGGAACCAAATAAACCCATTCTCGCGGGAGGACCCTGCACACACCCATAATGTTGAAGAGAAAAGGCCCAAGCTCCTTCTTATGCCTGTATCCTACTAGACTTTCAACGCCGGCAGCCGGCGGTCTCGCCGCTCGGTGGATCTACAACGTCCCATGTCAGGGGTATCCCCGGCTCCGCGGCCATCGCGGAAGACAGGTCGATCTGATGTTTGCTTCCCCCAAGGGGAAAATGCGAAAGCTGGTGCTTCCCTAAGTTTAAGCTCCGCTCCGCTCCCACACCTTTCTTCAAACGCTGTCCTTATCCACCTTAAGCTACCTTGCCTTTCTTCAAGCCGGCCGCACGTCGCCACACTTGCAACCTCACCCTACGACGACGGCATATCTACCATGGCGTCGCCGGAGCCAGGACAGCAGCCTCTGGTGAGCTCCATTCGCTTCTGCAAGATGCTTTTGGGTTGATGCTGATGAAAGTCGGTGAACAGGCTCCTGATGACTTTGATTCCGACTCTGTCATTTCCCAGGTGAGTTGCGCGATCCCCACATTTCTGTCTTTCGTTCCCCCCTTTTGATGGACCACGCGTCTGAGTCTCACGTTGGCGGTTGATGATATCTTGAACTGATGATGCGTGCGCAAATAAGCCGCCTGAGAGTTTAGAGTCAATCCGGAGCAGCGTGTTGAGATTCCATGTCGAGAATGGGCGGACGTACCATGCGATGAGCTCGGGGAGTAAGTTGCGGTGTAGCTATTCGTGGAGATGTGACAGAGCGACTAATGCGGTTGGACTGGGAGAGTACTCGTTTCCCAACGACGAGAGGGAAGCGGAGCGATTAGGTATGAAAGTCCACTGAGAGTGAGGCGTTGGTTCGTCGGCTGATGAGAGACAGATTTGCAACACCACATGTGGATATTGACACTGCGCGGAAAGCTGTGTCTGTGTCCCAAGGGCGAGGAGGAGAATAAGCGCGTCTTGGACTGCGGCACCGGGACGGGAATCTGGGCGATGGAATACGGTACGGCTTCCTTCCCTCGCCAGCATGAAATGACACTAACATTCTCTCAGCTGACGCACACCCCGAAGCTCAAGTCAAAAACTCACCTCCCCGTCCTCACTCTCACTAACACCCACCAAGGTCATCGGCGTCGATCTCAGTCCTATGCAACCATCATGGGTCCCCCCAAACCTCTCCTTCGAGCTCGACGACCTCGAAAAGGACTGGACCTGGTCCAAGCCCTTCGACTTCATCTTCGGCCGCGTCCTCGCGGGCTCCATCTCCTCCTACCCCGACTTCTTCGCCAAAGCCTTCGCGCACCTCGAGCCCGGCGGCTACCTCGAAATGCAAGACTTCGCCCTTCCCTACCGCTGCGACGACGGCACCCTTCCGCCGTCCTCCCCGCTGCACCGGCTGTCGACGCTCTTCCGCGAGGGCACCGCCAAGGCCGGGCGGCGGATGGACCTCGCGCCGGCGTACGCGGGCATGATGGAGGCGGCGGGCTTCGAGGGCGTGACGGAGTGGACCAGCAAGTGGCCGATGAATAGGTGGCCGAGGGATCCGCATTACAAGGAGATCGGGATGTGGACGCACGCGAATCTGGATACCGGGCTGGAGGGGCTTACGCTGGCGCTGTTTACGCGGTTTCTGGGCTGGAGTAGGGACGAGACGCTGGCGTTTTGCGCGGAGGTGAGGATGGCGTTGCGGGATTGTCGGACGCATGCGTACTTGCCGATGTGAGTCTTCCCCGTGTGAGGTGGTGGGAGGTTGCTGATTGTCGGCAGATATGTTGTGTATGGACGGAAGCCGGTGGGGAAGACGGCGGCGAGGGCGGGGGAGGGGGACGGGGCGGAGGGTGAGGGATCGGTGCCGGCTGGGATTCAGTGAGGCTTGGGAGTTGAGGATGGTTTGCGAGGGCGGCGTGGTTTTGTTGGAGTTGGCGGGCGGATCATTGTGAATTTTGCAAGTGCTGGGTCGGTTGCATGTGTGGTTTCGGGAAGAGAGGTCGTTGCATACCCGTTGATCAGAAGAAAACACGGAAGCATTTCATTTTGTTACTCTGTAATCCCGGATGATGTTGCAAGTGCTGTGCTGGTATAGCCGTTGCAAAAGCCGTTTCCCATACCGTTGTGGTGGCAGCAGATGAAAGCAGGAATAAGTTACATGAAGGCAACCCATAAACGGGAAATCACGGCGAAGTCAAGCCCCGGAGATACACCCCCGGCCCCGTTAATCCGTAAATCCACCCGCCGCGGCGCCGGAATGCTCTTCCAGCTTCGCCGCTTACACATTCCCCCCTCCCTTTCCTTCCCCGAGCCCGCCGCTTCTCAAGTCCCGAAGCAAGAGCCGGGGGGAGTCGGAAATTCCCCAGGGCCCGTGCTCGCCTCCACCTTTCCGCGACTGACGTGGGGGCGGGGCAAGAGCGACGCTAAAACCCCGCAGAGCATTCCACCGTTTCCCCCCTCCCAGTGCTCTGCTGTGCTGTAGAAGGAGGGGTAAGGGAACTGCCGCCAGCTATGTGACGGCGTTGACTTTTCGCATTCTTGGGGTTATTTGAAACGTACCTGACGTAGGGCTCTTTTGTATTCAGCCGGTCGTCAAGATGATTAAATATCGACTGATGGTCCGCGCAAAGTGGTTCGAAAGAAAGGCCATAACCATCGGCTAAGAAATCACCCGCGACGTCAACGACTCGGTAAAGTATCATTGTTAGAGGATCACCGAGCACCAAAGTAAGGTGACGCGGGGCACATCAGGTACGGGACACGCTGCCGGGAAGTGAAAAGTCCACTCGGAGCTTGGTGATTACCGAGCATTACATAAAGAGGGCCCCCCTAGCATTGGAGCTTCGACGACGCAACTTACACAGACGGGCGGGAGACATACTTAATCGTTCAATCCCGGGCAATCTCCAAGGACTCGAATTGTAGTAGCGGAAAAGCCGCAATTGAACCAGAAAAGAAACAGCAAACATGGCGGACAAGACACCGGAGCTGCTGGATCTGACGATCGACAACATCACGCCCAACACGATCCGCATCAACTCGCAGAGCCAGAATGCGCGCCTCAAGTACCTCATGGAGCGGCTCGTCACGCACCTGCACGACTTTGCGCGCGAGACGAGGCTGAGCACCGACGAGTGGATGGCGGCGCTCAACTTCCTTGTGGGGTGCGGGCAGATTAGCAGCGACGTGCGGCATGTAAGTCTTCTCGTCTCCTTGTGGCACTCTTGCAAAAAGACACAGACGGGCTGAATAGGCTAGGAATTTATTCTCCTCTCCGACATTCTCGGCCTCTCCCTGCTCGTCGACAGCATCAACCACCCCAAGCCGTCCGACTCGACCGAGGGCTCCGTCCTGGGCCCGTTCCACACGCACGATGCGCCGACGCTGAAGAACGGCGCGAACATGTCGGGAGATCCCGAGGGTGAGCCGTTGTTGGTTGTCTGCACAGTCAAGGACCGCCAGGGAAACCCGGTGTCTGGGGTCAAGATCGACATCTGGGAGACGGACAGCAGCGGGCATTATGACGTGCAGCACGAGGGACGGACGGAGGCAAGCGAGCGGTGCGTCATGGTTTCCGATGACAATGGGCGATTCTGGTTCCAGGGCATCAAGCCCGTCAGCTATCCCATTCCGCACGACGGACCTGTAGGAAAGCTGCTGGACCATTTGGGCCGACACTGCTGGCGTCCTGCGCATTTGCATTTCATGTTTGAGAAGAACGGCTGGGATCACCTAATCACGTAAGTTCTCCCGGTGGCCTACGGAGAGAGAGATGAGCTGACGACAAGCAAGTGCGCTGTACATCCGGGGAGACCCGTACGAGAAGTCGGATGCGGTGTTTGGTGTCAAGAAGAGCCTCGTGGTGGACCTCGACAAGGTTGACAAGGCGACGGCGGAGAAGTACGGGGTCAAGGAGGGAAGCTGGCTGTTGGAACAGGACTTCGTGCTGGTGACGCAGAAGGAGACGGAGGAGCTGAGGGATCGCAACGCGGTTGAGGCTCTGAAGAAGCTTGGGCTGACGCATCTGAAGCTCGTGGACCATCTCCCCGTGCCGGAGCTGGACTGAGGGCGCCCGTCTGTATGGAAATTGCCGTATAT